CCTGATCAATTGAGCAACCCCTCAAGATTACTAAAGAATTTCTTTCTTAGGTATCTTTACTCTTATGTTCACTGACTTCTACCTTTTCAGGTTAGTAGATGTAGGTACGACAACAGTTTTAGAAGAGTTATTGACATGAGAACCTATTCCATTATACCCCAACAGCCTCTATTTCTTGTAGACTTGTTTAGTCCTACCATGTTGTCAAGCCTCTTGGACCTAATATAATAAGTACAAAGTTGTATATTGGATTTATCTAGTTCACTCACTAGTGTCTTGACTTTATTCTCTAGGGACTCCTCAACATTTAGCTCCTTCACACTACAAGTTGATACCTCAAGTTTAGCTAAAAGTTTTTCCTTCTCTAACTTAAGAATATGTTACTTTTTAAAGGCACCTATTTAACTTTTTCAAATTAACACTTTTCTCAAATAACTTATCATAAGCCTCTTGTAGATCTTCATCGTGACTCTTCCTGTGAGGAGTATGCTCTAAATTCTCAATCTTACCATCATTTTTCTTACTTTCACATTCCACAATGGAAGTAAGTGTAGCGATCGAGAACTTTTAAACAATATAAAATTAGTTTTCTCGAAAAACGTGTCGCTAAACTTTAACCCTAATTTTAAAGAGAAAGCGCGTTCGTCTAGCCGTTATAAACGAATTTAAATTATTTCGAATCGAATTCATTTTCGAATAATTTTAAATTATCGATTCATTATTATTTTGTTTAAATCCGAGTTTTAGTAAATTAAGTAAAATATATGTTCTATAATTATTTTAAGTCCAATTATTTGAAATCCATTTACATTGGCCCAATTATATAAGTCCAAAAACGAAATCATTTCAGCCCAATCCACTTAGCCCATTAGGAAAACTCTTGTGACCCAAATTCCTAGCCCAATTGAATTCCTAGGGATTTGTACCCTATTCTATTGTTCATATATCAACCTCATTTCCCCTCCATCATCACCATCGCAGCATTTCTAGCAGCTATTTTTTTTGGTAAGCTTTCTCTCTTTTTCCTCAAGTGTTAGAGATCAATGTTGATGCTAGAACATCAATTTCTAGCATCAACACCATCTTCTTATCACCATTCCATTTCACTGTGAGTTACCATTGATGCTAGAATATCCATTTCTAGCATCAACAGTGAACTCACAAGCTGCCACACAATGCAGCCATTCACCAAACCATCACTGCACAGTCACCCAATTTCGAGCTACACCAGCCAACTGCAACCCCAAAATCAACACCAGCCTCAACCCAGAACCACCATTTCAAACCACCACACCAACATACCTCTAACCCAGCTCAAACCCATTTGCTCACACACGAGCTGCAATCAAGCACGTAGGCTGCAGCCACCCATTCGAACGATCCAGCATCACCCCAAGCTGCAGCCTTATACACAACACCAACCACCCATTTTCGAAGCCAACAATCACCAACCACGCACAACCCGCAACTTCATGACCTCCACCAGCCACCTCAAATCAACTACAAAAATCAAGAAATTACAATACCCATGAACTTACCTTGTTTCCCCAACCATTTCTCGAGCTTGAACCACCAAGAAATCCAAATGAAAATCGAACCCAAGCCTCAAACTAGCTTCGGTCCGTGCGCCAAAATCCCCAATCACCACCCCCTTTACCGCTCCCCGGTGGTGGAGTCGAAGGAAGGGGCTCAGCCCCTTCCCTCTCCCGTCGCCTCTCTCTCTCTCGATTTATAGAGAGAGAAATAGGAGAATGGTTTTAAATTTTAATTGATTTTGATTTTGGAAAATTGCCCCCTAGCCCCTAGATTTTAAAAGTGTTTTATTTCAGTCCTAAATTCTTTATTTAATTTTAATGAATGTCACTTTTAGCCCATAAGATTTAAAGTTATTGTTTCAGCCCTAAATTTTATTTACAGTTTCATAAAATTGTCAATTTAGTCCCTAACTTCTAAAAGTTACTATTTCAGCCTTTAGTTTTATTTTCAGCTTTAATAGATTTACAGTTTAGTCCCTAACTTTTAAAAGTTACTATTTCAGGTTTTAAGTTATTTATTTCAGTTTCAATAAATTTCCAATTAAGTCCTAAATTTCTAAAAGTTTAATGTTAGTCTTTAAACTTTTATTTTCAATTTCAATAACTTCCAATTTAGTCCCTAAACTTTATTTTATCACTTTAAAACCTTAAATATTTGGAATACTAATTCAAACTTATTTTATTTTGGCTAGACGATACGTACGAACAATTAGGAGTTTGAAGTTATTTTCCCGCTCCACTTTTCAAGCAACTCGAAATAGTTGAGGTAGACTCGCCACTATTAATTAATTTAAATTATAATTGCATGTTTTATGTGAATTTACGTGAATTATATGCTTTAATGCATGAAAAGAGAATATGTCATATGAGATATATGATATTGTTATACTTGCCATAACTTATATGCTTAATTGGATGAGAAAGAAGAGAATCTCTTATGAGATAAGATGAGAATGTTATGCATAACTTATGTGTTTTAAATGCACGAGAAAGACTAGCCACAGTCTATGTTTTTAAAGAGCCTATGATTTTCAAGAAAATGAACCAAAGATGATGATGATGATGATATCACGTTGTATATTGCATAAGTGTGTATTCAATTATTCTGTAAATTAATTATCGGGATGAGTCTACTGAGTATTTTTTCGAAATACTCACCCCATTATTTTAACAATATTTGCAGATTTCGGAGGCGATCGTGATTGATGGGCAATGTGGCAACGATTTAATGGATTCAGTTATTTGCATTTAGAAAGAATTTCGTATTTGAACGTTATTAACGTACTTGTTATTTCCGTATTTCCAAAACTCGAGATTTGAAGTTTAATCAAATTTTCTTAAGTTATTTAAATGAATTTTATTGCCATTAGAGTTTTTCAATTATAAATGTGATGTTTGAAATTTAGTTATTTTCCGCAAAACTTTTAGTTAAATCAATTACAAAAGAAGATGACATGACAATCCGGGTTAACGGAACTCGGGGCGCTACAGTAAGAGCCATGTAGTACCAACTATCCTTAGATGTGGAAGTCTTTGATTCTCATAAATAGACTCATCATCAGTAAGATCGACATTCATTGTCGTTCTTCGAGTCTTCTTATAACTTTGGACACTTAACTCTAATATGTCCAAACCTCTTGACACTCGTGACCTTACATTTTGAGACTTCATTTTTGCATATCTAGTATCTTTCTTCTCTTTTATCTTTTTTGTATTTCCTAGGACCGCCCTTGAACTTTTCGGGAGTTTCCTTGTTATTCTTAAAAAAGTTATTGAATTTCTTAACAAATTATATTACCTTGTCTGCAAGAGTCTCACCATCAGTCTTGTCACAATTCTCTTCTTTGACAATGTTAAGGGTAATAGGCTTTTTTGTTAGACTAAGGTACGATTAGTTCGTAGGTTCGGAGAGAACCCACAATTTCTATTTTGACCCGATCTATGTCTCTAATTTTCTCAATAGCTGTGACCTTCGGTTTAAACCTTTTAGGTAGTGATCTTAGAACCTTTCTAACTATTTGAGTCTTTGGTATTCATTCACCTAGGTTGAAGTTGTTGAAGTTGGAGTTCACTGTATCATTTAGTTTGGAATAGAATTCATCAAAAGATTCGTTATCCTTTATTCTAATTTCCTCAAACCTAGTAGTCAAAATTTATAGCATAGTTCTATTCATAGTTTTAGTTCCTTCATGTGTTGTTTCAAGAATGTCGCAAGCTTCCTTAGAAGTATCAAACATGGAAACACTTTTTAACTCATGTGATGAGATAGACATAAAAATGGCATGAATACCTTTGCTATTTCAATTACACTTAGTTAATTCATCTTTAGACGAAGTGGATATATTCTGAAATTTATTCACACCATCGACTCTTAGAGAAGGGATTGTTCATTCATTTTTCACACTCACTCAAACTCGTTCATCTAAGGATTTGAAAGAAGCTGTCATCCGAACCTTCCAGTGCGTATAATTGCTCCTATCAAAGTATAAGATGATAGATGAAGACTGTCTAGTACTCATCTAGATTATTCTAGGTCAAGAATCGAAATTATGCTCTTATACCAATTGAAAAAACAATGTTTCGACCCATTTTGCACCAAGAGGGGGTGAATAGACATTCTATGTAGAATTTAATTTAAAAAAATAATCTCCAACAAGTCATAAATTATAAAGTCTAGATATGCATGAGAAAATTGTCTAGCATAACAATCAACAAAGCAAGTAAATAAATGTGCTGAAAAGTAAATAACTCCAAGAATAGCTTACGAAGGAAAAATCCTTGAAAAACTTGTCAAGAGGAAAAAAATCTCGTGGCACCTCATGTCACCAAATGATCTACCATGAATAGGTTGAACTTACTGATCTGGTCTAGATATAAAAAAACCTTTATAGACTCTGACCTCCAATCTGTAACTATCTAAAGCACTACTCGATTGTGCACTCTAGCACTTGCTCCAAAACTTTTGGACTTCTTTTCTTGTGTGGATCTCTAAGAACGAACTTGTTCTTTCTCAAGAAGAACTCCGGTCGCCTCTCATATCAACAAAACTCTGAAGATATATGGTAGAGGATTTTCGGTGTGTTAGTTTTGGATGAAGAAGAGAATTTTAAAACAATCCGTTTCTTCAAATCTTAGATCATCTCTCATTTATTCTTCTCTCTCAACACAATGAAATACAAGAGTTTCTATTGTGTAAAAATAGTATTTCACAATTTTAGGTGGTTTAGGATTGTTTAGAGGTTGAAATAGGAAAAATAGGGTTTCCCTCGCCTAGATAGGCACTCGAGCTCCCTCTTGTCATTCATCGAAAATGTGCTCGAGCACCTTTTGGATGTTCATCGAGCACTCAAGTTCTAAACAATGCACTAGAGCTCATTTTGGATGTTCATCGAGCTCATATGTTCTGGAAATTGTGCTCAAGCAACTTTTGGACGATCATCGAGCCACTACAACAAATGTTACCTTTTACGGCATGTATGAAATCACCTTCTTGAAAAGTTCCCTCTTTGAATAATCCGTTCCAGGAGCTCTGCTCCCTGCTAGTTGCCGGAGCTGCATTAAAAAATATAATCATGTTTTTCATAGTTTGCCATTCCATAAACAAAAATGTTGAGTACAATTTACAAAATATAACAAAATGTTGTTACAGGTATGCCAGGCCAACGACTTACAACTTCTGCAAATTGTTCTGGTCCAATAGTTTCTGCCAGCATTCCGTCCTCAGTTGCACCTGACTCAAGCTGAGCGATAGCAGTGCCACTTCCTTAATTGCTCCATATTTCAAGTCAGCTGCTCTAGCAAGATCATATCTCTTTCAGCTTCCTGCAAGGCATACAAAAGCTCGTCCCGCTTTTGCTTGAGTCGCCGGAGCTCATCAATTCTTTCTTTTTCCTTTCTGTATCTCATCATCACAGGCTGGAGTTTATCTCTCAAATCATTGAATTCCTTTCTTACCTGAAAAATTCTTAGGATTGTCAGACCTTGTAAGTTTGAAATAATACCATATTTAGATAAGACTTGAGATCAATCCAGCAATTGTAATGAAAAATACTCACTTCAACAAGCCAAGCTTTGCTTGCTTTATCTTTCTCCTTCTCAAGAGCACGGAGTTCGACCTCCAATTGAATGCTCTTCCTTTCTAGATTATCAATTTCTTGAGGTTGACTCTCGAGTTGAACTCTTACATTTGCTCAAGCCTCATCTACAAGGCCAATGGCCTTGTCAGACAGATGTTTCCCTGTAATCAGATCAATGCCAGATTATTTCACCAATAATTAAAAAACAAAAACCCAGTATTTGTTGAAAACACGCGACACGGGCCAATGTCACGCCGGCAACGCCACAATTTTCGACCCTTATAGCCTTCATTGACAGTCCTAATCATACCCATTGCACAATTTTACTTCTCAAGTTTCAACCTCCTCAAAATGCTGATTGTGTCGGCAACACTTGGTTCAGCCATATAAACTTGCTGGAAACGCCTCTCAAATGCAACATCTTTCCCCACACATTTCCTTTACTCCTCAAGAGTTGTGGCTCCCGTTGATCCCTCAATGCGCCCAGCACCCAAAACAAAATGAATTTCATTAATAAATAAGATAACTAATCCTTTAGCTTCTTCAACTTCCTTTAGAACAACCTTCAATCTTTCTTCGAATTCCCCCCTGTATTTTGCCAAATGGTTGTCACTTCATTATTCAATGACTTCCAAGTAGGTTTAAACAAGGTCAACTTCTCTAAATCATAAAGCTGTAAAACAGAAAGCCCTAAATTCCTAAATCCCTAAATCAAAAAATTATAAATTAGAAAACACAATTAATTACAGCCACGGGAATGAATGATCCCTAAACCAAAATTTGAAAAACTGGAAGAAAGCACTAACATAGATACACTACAGACAATAAAAGTGGAAGACAACAACTGAAATCAAATGTCAATTTGACATACCTACTAGAAAACGGGCGACAGTGGCAGGCGCCACTATAGAGAGACGCGGTCACACGGCAAACCACATAGGCAGAGTTCTGTCTATGACGGGCACTGTGCAGACAAATTGGAGACAAGAGCAGAACACACAAACTTCGAATTCTTGGCAACAAATGGATGAACTCAACAACTCAAGACACAAAGTGAAAACTTTGGAGACTATATTCCATGAATCGGAGATGGCAAAGGGGGAAAGAGAGATGCCGACGGTCACGGGACACGCAGCCGGGGAGGGAGGAAAGGTCGAAGACTCGAAGTTGGAGAGAGTCTGAGAGTCGAAAGAGAGAGTGAGAGTGAGAGGATGCAGTGGAAGAATGAAATGAAAATGCAAGTTTAGGTTTTCTATTTTGATAACTTTGCAGGCAAGAACGTATGTCCCAAATTGTAGCTTTTACTATTTACGGCGTGCTCTAAATGTATGCCATAAAAGTTTACTTTTTACGGCATGTCATCAATGTATGCTGTAAATACTTTTAGTACCTGAATTATTACGGCGTGCATTTAAGGCATGCCGTAAATAGTCATTTTTTACGGCATGCCTTATATGCATGCCGTAAATGCATGCCGTAAAAGGCAACATTTGTTGTAGTGAGCATACATGTTCTGGGACAAGTTGAGTTATTCCACTGCCATTATTTTTTATGACATAATCAACTATTAACACCCGTAAACACAACCCCAATTCCAACACAATTTAATGATTTTGGACTTGGAACTTGTCAAGACTTATTTAGACCTAACAAATAGTCAATTGCTATTTTGGTCTATATCTCTTTCATATAGCTTAATTTATTGGAATTACTTCAACCTAATGAACCAAGATTCCTTAGGTTTATGCAAGACATTTCACAACCTTGAAATCGTCCTTGGCTTAATGTGTTCACAGTTAACTCACGTCCCCTTGGTGTATATCTTTGTTACTTATTTCATGCATTATAGTGTGACCATATCTCCATCCTAATGCCCTCAACATTTTAATACTCAGTTTCTTAAGCATAGCTCTAAATGATCCATCCATATAATTTGCCTTCAACTTGGTAGTACCTTCTTGTCATATAATGTTTTATAGCACTTGTAACATTTCGTAAAAATCACTAACCATATCAACATCTTCAATTCCTCTGTCCTGGTTACTAATCAGTAATCATACAAAGTACCTAAAAATCATTGTTTGCTAGAACATTTATTATTGTTGATATCACCTTGTTTTTTATCATCTGTTAAAATACCTACCTGGATCCTCTTGTTTACTCAAGTTTGGGCCATGTATGTAGATTGGCAGAGGTGGGATGACCTTTCGTAATATTTCATGTAATAGAAATGATGCCTTGAACGGACCTAAAACTGAACAAATTGCTTTCTCCTTTCCACTAGTTTCTTTAGTTTTCGAGTGTATTTATGTATAAAATATCTTTTGTATCGAGAGTAAGCAGTCCGAGCTCCTTGTCAAGATCAAACATTGTTACTATCATCAATATTGATATCATCAACAAGAAAACATTTACCCTTGTTATCTAAGAACTTGTTTGTAGCAATGAAGGGCTTTGGAGTTTGTTGCTATGTATTTGACCAATTAAGATCATTTAGTCTCAATAGAACATATCACTGAAATCTGCCTGAGGACAAGGCTAACTGGAGTAGAAAGGAGTAAAGAGGACTTTTTCACAAGAAACGACCATTTTTCTAATTCTATAATATTCGACATTTGCAGTTTGTTTAGAGAATCATATGAAGCAAAAGTAGTTGCCGTTTAATCTGGTATAATTTAGTTGGCATTTCATGCTAATGAGTATTCTAGTTGGTTGATTTGGTGGCATTTGAAAATAGTGGTGGTTACTCAGCTATAACTACATTTGCCTTAAATATTTTACATTCAAAAGCCATTGTGCTTTATCTCTGCCGATCTGGTGCTACTACAAACCTTGTTGCTTTAACTTTCCTGTCTTTAGTAATAGTCCTCTGCTTAGTCTCCAACTCAAGTCCTGTACTCATCTGACTCTAAAGCTCTAATAGAAAATTCAAGCTGATCATGAGAGGACTACACTTTTGGAGTATAGAAGCTAGAGTTTCAAACTAAAGCATCCTGACGAAGACATATCGACTTGTGGAAGAGGCTAACTAGGATTGTCGTAGTCAAGTGACAGTCTTCTATAACTTGAGTCAGATCTCTATAAAGTGGCTTCTAGAGCTGCTTTGTGATAGAATAATCTTTGTAAGACAATGCTTCTGTGTAGGTTTTTGTATTCCTTGTTTCGGATATAAAGTTTCCAACAATGTGATATCTAATTTCCACTAGTGATGTCAAGTTACTCATTTCTTAGGTGTCGGGGTGGTTTATTTAATTAGTGGAAAATGAAGTTTCANATGTATGTAGATTGGCAGAGGTGGGATGACCTTTCGTAATATTTCATGTAATAGAAATGATGCCTTGAACGGACCTAAAACTGAACAAATTGCTTTCTCCTTTCCACTAGTTTCTTTAGTTTTCGAGTGTATTTATGTATAAAATATCTTTTGTATCGAGAGTAAGCAGTCCGAGCTCCTTGTCAAGATCAAACATTGTTACTATCATCAATATTGATATCATCAACAAGAAAACATTTACCCTTGTTATCTAAGAACTTGTTTGTAGCAATGAAGGGCTTTGGAGTTTGTTGCTATGTATTTGACCAATTAAGATCATTTAGTCTCAATAGAACATATCACTGAAATCTGCCTGAGGACAAGGCTAACTGGAGTAGAAAGGAGTAAAGAGGACTTTTTCACAAGAAACGACCATTTTTCTAATTCTATAATATTCGACATTTGCAGTTTGTTTAGAGAATCATATGAAGCAAAAGTAGTTGCCGTTTAATCTGGTATAATTTAGTTGGCATTTCATGCTAATGAGTATTCTAGTTGGTTGATTTGGTGGCATTTGAAAATAGTGGTGGTTACTCAGCTATAACTACATTTGCCTTAAATATTTTACATTCAAAAGCCATTGTGCTTTATCTCTGCCGATCTGGTGCTACTACAAACCTTGTTGCTTTAACTTTCCTGTCTTTAGTAATAGTCCTCTGCTTAGTCTCCAACTCAAGTCCTGTACTCATCTGACTCTAAAGCTCTAATAGAAAATTCAAGCTGATCATGAGAGGACTACACTTTTGGAGTATAGAAGCTAGAGTTTCAAACTAAAGCATCCTGACGAAGACATATCGACTTGTGGAAGAGGCTAACTAGGATTGTCGTAGTCAAGTGACAGTCTTCTATAACTTGAGTCAGATCTCTATAAAGTGGCTTCTAGAGCTGCTTTGTGATAGAATAATCTTTGTAAGACAATGCTTCTGTGTAGGTTTTTGTATTCCTTGTTTCGGATATAAAGTTTCCAACAATGTGATATCTAATTTCCACTAGTGATGTCAAGTTACTCATTTCTTAGGTGTCGGGGTGGTTTATTTAATTAGTGGAAAATGAAGTTTCAATTCGTGTGAGCTTCTTGTATGCTTTGTTGGTCTGTTGTTGGGAGTATTGACAAGTAGCAAATAGTGCATTGTAATGCTTGGCTTATCAAGGGAAGATGCTGAAATGAGTTGGTACATGTTATTTCTAGTTTCCAAATACTTGTGAAATTTACCTCCTTGGTGCTTGTCGAGGCAAGAAAGCTTATAAAACTGAATGCTTTTGGACTTGAGACTATCTTACACCATCAAAATATTTGCAATATTGGTCTCGTCTGATGGTTTTAAGAATATTTTCTGGCATTTTGTTTCAGTAAAGAGGGAAGGTCCCTATTCCATCGAAAGAATTAAGCAATGGCTCAATGAGATAGAAAGCAGTTAAATCTTATTGGATTTTGAATAGGATCGAAAGCATGCTTTTCATTTTAACTCAAATAAGTGAGCTAGAACTTGTGATAAAAAGTGTCATTTATTGGTGTCATACGCATTCCGAATATCCAATTTCAACCCAAAAATTGAACAGGAAAAGGCGAAAAATTGTTAAAAGAACTCTTAAATTCTAAATTAGAAAATTATAGATATTATAATCGAAGTAATATAATTTTAGGCAAGGGGCATTTCTACCGAAGGAATATCATTGCAAATTTTAAGCAAGAAAAGGACTACAATTTGTTCTTTACTATTGCTAAATGTGTGCACCCTTGGCACTTGCTGGCTCATTGTCAGTGGACGTCCAGTGTTTCACGAGCTTAAGTTTTGGTTCATATATATAAACTGTTCTATAAATACTCAAGTCGTAATGCAAGTTTTCGGAACCTTTGGTCAGAGAAGTTAATATAAATACTATTAGAAGTTCACGCTCTACGAGTATTAGATACAAGAGTGAAGCTTGTCATATGGTCACTTAAAAGGCTATGATCGACGGGTTAGGGGCTTAGACCTAAGTATAGGGATTAGAGTGGGTGGGCAGAGAATTTAGGAAGGCGTTATGTACTTTTGGAAGTTGGGATGGGACGTGCATTATGTTTTTACAATTTTAGAATGTTATTTATTATCATGGTGATGAAACATAGTAATATGACAATCAATTATCCATTACATTTCTCTCTCTCTCTCTCTCTCGTAAAAATTGAATTGTTCAATCATATTATTTCACATAAATTGCCACATCATTAATGTTCCATCATTGTAATGATAAATAATATTATTATTTTACAATTTCTATCTCTTTTACTTAGAGCCTCTTTGAGCAACATTTTTGTCAAGAATGCAGTTTGGAATAGTGATTGATAGAGAATATGTGGTTAAAAAATAAAATAAAAAAGTTTTGTATTTGCGTATAATATTATTTTATTGAAGAATTGTGGTTAAAAATAAGAGAGAAAAATATATTTTATAAATAATGAGAACCAAATAAGGGCTTATTATTATTATTATTATTATTATTATTATTATTATTATATAAAAATAGTATTTAAATTTAAAAACATTAATAAACATAGAATAAAATAAAATAAAAGACTAAGGATGGGTTCGAGGTGTGGAATATGTTCCCAATCCGTCCCTAGGGGTGGAGGCCGGGACATTTTTCCACTTTCACGGGTGATAACTTTTGTATGATGACGATTGGTTTTCAAAGTCTTATGAAAGGTTCATAGCTTGTAGGCAGTATTCTAAAAAATGTAAAGTATGACTAAACACGAAGATGAAACTTCAAGCTTTATAAGTTTAAGCGAACCTAGGCGTAAAAAAATCGTTTTCCTATTTTTAATATTATTTTAAATTTTAATACGTATCAAATATTTAAAATTATAAAATATTATATTTACTTAATAATTTCTAAAATTAGTTAATTGTACAGTCTTCAAGTTTTCAAAATACAAAAACTAGAATATGTTTCATAATTTTTAATTAGACAAGTCATACTGAATAGATTTATAGAAACTTTGTATATGCTTTCAAAGTTTTCAATAAAATAACGAATAATTACGTAATGTAGATAGCACCGTAGCTTAAATTTTATTTAACTATTTATTGAATAAAGTTATTTTTAACTTTTGTACATATAAAATATTTTAAAATTTTGAACTTAAATGAAAAGTTTTTTTAAAAATAAAAAAATTAATAAACTTAAGTAAAATAAAGACTTCAAAAAAATAAAAATAAAAATAAAAACTAATAAAGGACGTCTAGGAATGACGAAAGAGATGGAAAAAAAATCACATTTAGGAATTTATAATAAAAAATGGCGTAGGTGTAAAGTGAGACGTAATGCCCGAACTTCGAGTATAGGTTGTGTCTAAGCGAGCATTTTGGAACACTGCTTGCAGAGACAGGGTTAGGATAAAGGAGTTATGGGGGCAAATTTCATATAACTTTAATTCTGAGGGGAAAATTGAAAAACTATTAAGAAATCTTTTTAAAATCTTGTGCAAAATATTGAAAAATCTTAGATTAAGGCCTTAAAATTGAAATTTAATGTGGGAGCAACTAATCCCACCGCCTTCACGATAAATCCATCCATGATAGCCTGTATGATAGGTAGAGCATGCATTTCTTTATAAAATCAAAAAATATTTCCTTTTCTACACTTTTAGATAGAGAATCTTTAGTTCTCAACTAGTACATGACAGCGTGTGGTTATTAACATATACAAACAAATAAGCGAGGCATGTTTAAATCCGCGGCCTGTAGTTTTGTATGGGTACGTCTACATTTTCATATGCTTGCTGTATTTCGTTTAGTCATTTAGTGAGTGTGTTATCGAGTGTAGCGATGAGATTCCCGAGCTTTTGAGAGCTCTTCTCTTCCTCTGTTGCGAGGCTTTGACTATTGTATTTGATTATATCTTCTTCGTGCCGATCAATGCAATGGGATATATCTATTTATCTATCTCTTGACTCGAAATTGGAGCAGGTTTGAAAAATGATCTTAGAGTGTCTAGGGTTGGACCAGGAGTCTTAACGCCTTCTTTTTTCTTCTCATCAAAGTTATTTCACAAAGACTTGCAGGGTAGGGAAGAAGGGGGGAACAAGCACACTTGGATAGCGCAGTACAACAGAGAGTTGTATGCTGCGTTCGGGAAGGATGAATCACTCCCGAACATGAATCTATTGATTCTCTCCCAATTGGTTGGATCGTAGGTGCGATGGTTTACTTACATTTCCTCATTTTATATGTATTTTGTTTAACATGGGGTTGAGTAATATTTCAATGACAATAGTCTTTTGGTTTTTGTGCAAAATGTTTAAGATCCCGTAAATTTTTTAAACTAAAATTAGTTAAATTAAGTATTATAGAATATCTATAATAGTGACAATTGTTCAATCTATCTGATAGATACGAAAACCCCTCTCGATTTTTTCGATATTGATTTTCGCAATCAGATGAAAAGAATAAAGATTCAAATCTTACCTTACATCAGTTTTTTTATCCATCTCATGAAAAAAAAAACTCCGGGAAAAGGATGAAAAAAACGGGGGCTTGAATGGTACGATCTCTCTGTCACCCCCAGAATGAAAGGGGTGATCTCATAGTTCTTGGTCTATGAAT